TGAAATCGTGGATGGTTAGGGTTAGATTGTGGATGTGATGTGAAACATGTTTTTCTGTGTTGTTAGGTTGAGAAGAAGCTGGCAACGCGGCTCCAGGCGGGACTGAAAGCGTGGAGGGTTTTGGGTAGGGTTAGTTGTAGGAGGTAGGATGTCAGGGCTATGGGATGTGAACAATGTTATTTCGTGTTTGTAGGTCGAGAAGAAGCTGGCCACGCGGCTCCAGGCGGGACTGAAGGCTTGGACGGAGGTGCTGCTGAAGGAGGGAGATGACGACCAGGCGAACCAAGACATGGACAACGACGTCGCTCCGGCTCACAAACCCGGAGGAGACCCCAAACTGCAGGTGATCAGTCTGTCCTTTATAAGGAACCATTGTCTATGGAGACAGACGGTTGCCAAGAGCCTTTCCTTTAAGTAACTTTGGTTACTTAAGTGTCAATGGTACATTTTTTTAACTTTCTTATCTGTGATATCCCACTTGTAACATAATTTTATTACTTGTCTTTTCTTTGAGTACCTTTCTGCTCAAAGGGTCAGTTGTAGTCAGGTGACCAAACCTATTTATCTGCGGAGTCTTTTTCGTCCCCTCTCCTGGTTGCAGAGAGGACGAAAGAGACTCGTAAGCTAAAATATTTTTGGTAACAGGTAAACAGTTCTTACCTTAGGTATTTTACTTGCTATAGTTACTGTATAAAGCCAAATTCCCATATATCTGACTAGAGGGGAAAAGGAGACAGATCTCACAATTGCTATCTTGCTACAAACATGGTAAACTACTATGATGTACACCTGAATTGACTCCTTCATTGCACATCTGTAAGTGGATTCCTCTCGAAAGACGCCCTATTTTTCCACTCCCAACCCTTAACTTGCACTCCTCAAAATTTGCACCTCAAAATGCAGGAAGGAGTGTTTTCAAGCATTACAAATTTCCAAAAAGCCCCCTACAAAGCTTCTGCCTGTGCTGCTCGCTGCGTGGCTTTGCTGCATACAACTGTTCCTAACCCTCCCATGTTTGCTCCGCAGACCCTGCGTTACGAGCTGCGTCTGATGAACCAGGTGATCTACCTGGAGCCGCCGCTGGAGAACGTCCGCATGCGGCTGTTTCAGCAGCTGCACGACTGGGAGCAGGTCATCACCACACTGCCCAGGATACAGAGTTCTCGTTACCAGGTGGGTACATGCACACACACACACACGCACGCACACACACACACACACACTCATGAAAATGCAAGATACACCTTTCCTTCTAGTTGTTGGTAAAAGTTTTCTTGTGCACTACGTGTACATAATCCGTTTGTGGCTGGGTTACAGGTTGGACTGGAACGCGGGGAGTCTGAGAGAGAGACGACCTACCGTAACCTGCTGACCAAACTGCCTGACGGTCAACATGCCATGGACGTGGCTTTCCAGGCCATCGAAGATGTCGTCGTCAAGACCAATGCCTATGTAGCTGTAAGTAAACTGAAGTTATATGCCACGCTTTTTGTGTTAGTGGTAGGTTTTGTGAAACGATTGCTGCTTCAATTGTGGGTTGCGGGCTGCCAAACTGTGTAAGTGTTCATGGCAAGAATCTTACGTCTAGAGACCAGCTAACGCAGTTCAAATGTAGAACTGCCAGATATCGCAAGAGGACATTGCTCTACCTAATAGACCTACTCAACAACAAAGGGTTCGCATCATAAATAAGCAGTAAGACAAGCACACTGTAAGGTTCTAAATGTTTATGTAGATATTCTTTTATCTTTAATTTAATTACTGTATTTTAATCGTAAATCATACTTTCCTTCAGCCGTCAAAGGCTACCACTGTACGATCTGTAATGATAATGAGGATGTAGA